AATTTTAAGCTTTAAATTGATTTAATCACTTGGAATCAAAATTAACTTCCAGATAAATTTCCATTAATAATAATCGAAAGGGTATTCAACCTTAATAATGTTATAAATATCTATCTTAATAACACAGAAAATCGAGTTAATCAGGTCATCAGCTTGATTGACATTAAGTGTTGACACTTTTGTGTAGCTACTGATTTGGTTTTTAATTGAATTTTATATTTGGGAAAAGCAGATGAATTTGAGAAAATGTTGATGTTCTCTCTGTGGTTGAGCTGGATTTTTCATGAATTTATAACGATGAATGTCAGGGATGAATATTGAACTAAAATAGAATAGAAAATCAGTTGGCAGAAAGGATCGAAGGTTTTATTTGATTCCGAATGAAACATTCTTATATTGAAAATACAGTTATCTACATCGAAACTTTTACTCTCGGAAATCATATTATCTACTTCATCTGATAATAAGAGGAGTAGTGGAGAGTATTCAATTTTAGGTGAGAAAAAGTTTTTGATTCTTGTACTTTCCCCAAGTGTTAGTGTTAAAGTGTAATTTAATAATCATTCAGGGAGGAAACCACAATCTGAAACAGAAAAAAGAATCTAAATGATGAGAGGAAAATGCTACGAATGGAAACCCCAACTGTTGGTATAAAGTTAAACTTAGAAATCAGGAAATTAGATGAAGTTTTAAAACTAATTTTTCTTTTATTAATAGAGCGAGTGTATTAACAAAACTTAAGTTCTTAATGTCAAATCCTGTCACATTCAGCTAGTTGAATTTTCAGTTGTTAACATGTTATTTCCTTAACTTATTGTTCCTATTTGATTTCAATCTGGTTCGCACTTTATATACATGTATTAATACAATTCATATTTGAATATATCTCTCCCGTAATTTAATTCGAATCAAAGTTAATTACCAGACTACTTTTGGGAATTTGTATTCTCAATGTAAATATGAGGAGTGCTAATGAATTCTAAAGAAAACATTTTCATACTTTTAGAATAATAATATTAATGTATAATTATGTATACAGTTGATGCTCGCATTTTATGTAAATATCAATCAAAATGCTAATGAATTATGGCTCAATGTAGTACATTTTTTATGCTCCATATTTTGAACTGTAAAGATTGAGATCAAGTAAGTTACGGGCGAAAACAGAGAAAAAGAAAGTGAGAAAGACAAAGAAAACCATGAGAATCGACCCATAGAAATATGCATTTCAATAGCTAAATAATCATAAATGGTTCTAAAAGCTGGAGAGATGATAAATGTTGACTGAATATTCGAGATTATCAAGTTGGAAATAAATGGAAATTGTTGAGAGAAAATTTTGGTGATAATGATGTAAGATGAAGAGGTTGACAGATCATAAAGTGTTGGAAGTGAATCTATTTCTTTCAAAACATTGCGCTCCAAATTTTCATCATAAAAGATATCCTAAGAAAAATGTTATGACATGTAGCCAGTTATCATCAAGAATAATTTGGCGAGATGAGATTTTGCTTCATTGGTATTAACTTATCATGAGGATTCATCTAATTAAAAGTAATAACTGCCAGCCAATGAAACATTAAATTCAATAATGAAAATGCTAATGTTTCCAATGTTAAACGTTATATTATTTGTCTCACTGATCGTCCAAGTTGAATGCTTAAGGGTTGATGAACAATTGAATATCTTGTTTATGGTTTTATTAAAAGTTGATCATCATGCTGATAATTCAATGACTATTCATCCATGATTTTTGAGGTTGCATATAAAAGGCAAAGAAAGAGAGAGAGATAGAAACTGAGTATGATATTACATGGAATTGCATACCCGCCAAGTTGTGATGTGAAAGATAACATTTTCTCTTCCCTTGGTATTACCGATTTCCAGCCACAAACATGATAAAAGGAAAGAAATAAAAAATTTGTTGATTCCAAAGATTCAGATGAAAGGAGATAATAATAAAGAGAACAAACTAATTCTAACATTTTCTTTAATATCTTCTATCGAAGGGGAAAAGTTCCAAAAAAAAAGTTGGAGGAAAAAGATTATTCCTCATGAAGAGATTTCCATTCTGAAGTTGACGATGATACTTGAATGACAAAAACGATAACAACAAGAAAAAAGAGGAAGATGAAACATATTAGTTGCTCATCTCTCTATCATCTTCCGATAAAAAAGTTCTTGACTTAAATTCTGTCGGTGATTCAATATGTGATTATCACAATAACATGAGAGAAAATCATATTGGTGAGATGATGACGAAAAGAAAAATACTTTTCTCTTCATCATCTTCCATTGTTAATTGCTTCATTCATTTTCCAACAATTTGATCTCTATCAATATCTTTTCCCACCCACTTACTCCCACTACTCTATTGACATTATTATTAAATTATCAATAAAATATATCGATGATAATTTAGATCTGGGAGTTTATATGGCTCTAATAATCAACTGATTGCCTACAATTGTTGTTGATTTTTTTTCATTAACTTTTTGTACAGTTAATTGTGATTTGGTTTATGGTTATTAAATGATTATTATCATTATTATTATTGATTTCATTGTAATAGTTTTATCATTTTCACTTGTCCAATATTTATGTGTTGGTCAGTTGATTATTGTAATGAATTGAAAATCAAATGAGATGAAACATAAACTCATTTGATTGGGCAAATATTTTATTGTATTATCATTGATAAATTATGATGTCTCATATTTTTATCGTTATCATTGTAATCATTATAAATGGCTGATTGTCCAGATTAAAATGACCATAAGATGATGGTGACCTCATGATATAAGACAATAAATAAGTGGGAGGAGAAAGACAACAAATTATCACATTAACTGTTTATCAACATGTATATACGTTTCGCTGATTTACAGGGGAGATCTAGTGGTCAGTTGGATGGATGGACATTGGGTATGATTTTGCTCACTGATAATAAATATAATAATTGCGTGAGTTTAACTGAATCCATAGAGTATGAATATAAGGAAGATGTTTAAATATTTCTCTCTCTTTCCTTCAATGGTCAATAAGATGATGATGATGATCACTGGTCAGTGTCGATTATTATTATTGTAGAGATGAAAATTTATCATCATTCTTCATGAAACATCAACAGTCAATAGAAATAGAGAGAATTTTTCAGCTCATTTTTTTTTCTTCTTTTTCTTTTACTGGTCATCTTTTTTTTCCTTTTCTTTCTTTTCATAGAATTTTTTTCCTCATCTCTAGCTTATAATGTTTTCTATTCTCGTCCTACAGAATTCATAGTTAACATTCAATGAAAGATTTTTATATTCATTGTTATGAAAAATAAAGAGAAAAGGAGAGCTCCTTCAATCTTTTGGACCATGATGAAGAATTGACCATATAATATGAAGATGATGATGAGATTGATGAGGAAGAAGATGAAAGATTTGTTGAATGTTAAAGTATAATAACAGGAAGAGAAACATCATTAGGTAAGTCAATGATTAATTAGATTGTTGATTGATTGATCCAATGAGAATTCATTGAAAAACACTGGTCATTCCAACGGTCAGTTTGTTAGAAGAGAGAAAGAGAGAAAAAAAGGAGAAACTAATACAATAAATGGTGTAGAAGAAAAGAAAAGATAATGATGATGATGATGATGATAACACACTCTCACTCTCACTAACCTTTCCACCCTCTTCTCCCCTTAAAGAATACCATGTAATCATTATCTTCCTTTCTGCCCTTACCACCCCACCCCACCCACTCATTTACACTTTCTCCATATACTCAATTCTATTGACCGATAGATTGATTATCGGACATTGGGCTTCATTATCTTTGTTATTTCCAAGTGAACTGAATACTCATTTTCATGGTAGATTATCAATTCCAGGTTCATTATTATTACCGTTATCATGTAATTGTAATGATATCAAATGTTGTTCATGCTTCAAATGTTTGTTTCAATACATCATCATAGTGTTATCATCATCATGATAATCATCAATTATTCGTTTCTCACCCTGAATCAAGTCAAATGAGTATCTGAAAATTAATCAAAGAAAAAGCTAATAATCAATTTGATCATTATCATGATCATGTTGATGGTGAAACAAAAACACGGATCAAGTTCATATCAGTTGAAAGTTTCCAATCCCTTTCAATGGTCATCTTATTACTTACCAATATTTCACTGGAAAAGTTGACCATTTAAATTATTTTTCTCAAATCTATCCAACTGAAAATAGCCTGAGGTCATCTTTATTTCTTGTAATAATATTTTCTCATCTCTTCAATAATCATGATGAATGAATAAGCAAATATCATAATAGTTTTGACTTTACTTTTCTCAAAGTTATTGAAAACTATTGAGCAAATATATGATCATGATATTTCAAGAGGTATTCAAGAATCTGGAATTTTCAATCTAATTTATATTGTACAAATTTGAGCGTATTGATCAATATAAACTGAACATTTTTCTTGGAAAAACTGGAATTTCTTTAGAAATTAAGAATTTATAACTTGTCTAACTGAATTCTTTTCATGTTAATTCTGTTAATTAGAACATTTAACAAAGAGTGTAAAAAGGGCAAAGAAAGATTCAATCCTAGAAAAATTAATCAGCTGATAAATAAGATGCTCGAATAAGAGAAATATTGAAAAGAATAAGAAGGAAAAAAAATTCCACTCAAAATTCATGCCAAGTTATTCACCTTCATCTCATCACAGCAACTACACGAAAAGTAAACGAAAATAGTTCATCAAAATCAAGGAGAAAACTCAACCCAATGTAATATAAGAATAAAGACAGAATAAAAAAAAAGTTCTAAAAAGAAAAATTCGATGAAAAATTCTGGGAATCAACGAAATTCATCAACTCTATAAAATTTCAAATTCGTTATATAATTAAATTCCAAGTCTCATGGTAACATTGACTATTCACATGAATGAGATACTCTGATAAAAGAGCTTTGGTTTCAATAAAAATGTAATCTGATGATGATACTTACCAATAACCGAAAGGTAAATACTCATTGACATTTTGGGATCGGTTGAAATTTGACATTCGTAGATTCCTGAATCAGAGAGACGAGTATCTCTTATCTCGAGTGTCCATTCATTAGAATTGGCAACATTTATTGATCGGAATCGTGCATCACTTGTATATGTATCACGACCTGATGTTAATATTTGCAGGTCTTTCTGTCGAACCCACGAGACCTGTCAACAGAAAACAAAACCATGAGAATCATTATTGAAAGAGGAAAAAAACCGAAAAAAAAGTTCTCTCTCACTTGAAAGAGTCGCAGAAAAAGATACAGAAAATGAGAAAGAGAGAAAGAGAAAAAATTGAATCCATGACGATGAAGATGAAACAGAATAATATTAATCTTGATGCATAAGAGGCAAATGATGACAATAATTGTTGCAATATTATTCAATATTAATTGATTGATAACACCTAAACAGAAAAACAAACCTCTTCAATTTGATTTTGCTAATGATAAATTAACCAATATATATGAAGTTATATTAATTAGTTAATAACAACTATTTGATCAAGAAAGATCAATTATTGACTTTGGTTATCCAGTGAAGGGTAACCAAAGTCAAATCACCAATAATCACCTTAATTGTATTTTTTTAACATTTGTTTTTTTTTCTATTAAAAGTTAAATTAGAATCAAAACAATAACTGGTCAGTGAAGACCAATACTAATTAATTATCTAAATTTTGTAATAAAATTAAAGTCAGTGAAGACTTTGATTAATTGTGTTTATTCTAAACTGAAACCTAATAGCCAGTAGGCTAAAGGTAAAATAATCAACTAATTTGTGCTTAAATCAATACAAATTCAACCCTTTTTTAATTTACATGTAATGTTTTCGTTACATTTGGTGGCCGTGTGTGAGGGTGAATTTGGTGAACTAATTTCCGTGCAAATCTATTCTTCAATTTAAATCGAACTATAAAATGACCTTCAAATAAAAGCAAAAATCGTGGTCTCAATGTTATTCTAATGAATAAATAAAAATTAACAAATCAACAACCTACAAATCAACAATCAAATAATAAACAATTATAAATAATAAAAATCAAAAGATCAGCTAATCAATGATACAAAATTAATAATAATCAATTAACATTAACATATATATAATTAATCAAATCAATTTTTATGCAAATCAAATAATTGTTAACTACTTTACAGATTTCCATCTATCTTTTAATTATACGAAAGTAAGTCTTGTTTTTGGTATCTTTTTCTCTTCTCTTTTTTTTACTATCGCTACTAAGGTCAGTGAAGACCAATCTTTTAGAACGATTGTTTCTTATCTTGTTCATTCTCACAACTGGTTTTCAGCGAGATCATTAAAGTTGAGGTCAGTGAAGACCCTTGCTTCTTGATTGTTTATTCTCTCTTTAGACTATAAAGTGAAAAATCCTTAACTGTCAGTGAAGACGTTATTCTCTCAATACATTCAATTATCACAAATTATCATACGATTATTATTTAACATATTACTTTATCAATAATGAATTATTACTCTGATCACTTTGGATTTAATCAAATCGACGTTAGCCCATCAATTAACACTCTTAATTCAAGCCATGTCCTGAATAATCATATCATCATTGAGCCATTCAAAGGTGATAATGAAGATTTAATTGATTGGTTAATTAATTTTGAATTAGCTTCTAGTGCTTTAGGTCTTGGTGCTATTGAAATGTTCAAGATTATTCCCTTTTATTTGCAAGGTTCAGCTCGCAAATGGTACAAAGTTACCTGTAGTCCTCATTCTTTCCGAGAAATACCTAAAACTTATGATGAATTAAGAAATAGAATGATCTTAGACCTTTGTCCATCTGACTATCAAGCTCATCTCTCTCATCAATTTCATTATAGTAAACAAGAGCCAAATCAGCTAACGACTAACTTTGTTTATCAAATTCAAGAATTATGTATGCGAATGAATAAAAAAATGCCAGAAAAGCTCATGATAATCTTCATCATTGAAAGACTTTTACCTCAAGCTAAATTCATAATAACTTTACAAAATCCTCAAACATTAACCGAACTTATTAATGCTGCTAAATTAGTCGATAAAACCGTCAACGCAAGAGTAAAACAAGAAAACGAAAACGAAAATAATTTAAATTTAAATCAATTACAATTTAAAATTAACAAAATCAATGAGAAATTAAACGATTCAGTCTCTTCAATTTTTCAAATTCCAAATACAAATCTAATTCACAAAGAAATCAAATTAAATAATAACAAAGTCCAGGCAATGTTCGATACAGGTTCCGGTTTAACTCTAATCAGTAAAAATCTAGTTGATCGACTGAGTTTAAATTTGCAACCGTATTTTGAACCCTTCCCATTAGCTGTCAATAATAGCCCAGTTAAAATACTTGGACAAGTCAAAGTTAGAATTAAAATTTGTGACGACGAATCAGCAATTGCAATATCAACAATTGTCCAAGTTACTGAATATTTGCCACATCGATTCGATGCCTTAATCGGTCAAGATCTAATGACTAAGGCCAATCTTATAATTGATTGCGCATCTAAAACAATTCGTATTAATAATTCAAATCCAATTAATCTCACGAGTTTACCAAGTGCTAAACATTCGTTAGAGATCGAAAGGGAAACTAAAATTATTGAGAATCTTGATCAGATCGAATCGAATCAATGCAAATCCAATGAACAGAATGAACAAGAAGAAAAATTTCCCTTTTTTGAATTAGTTGATCCTCTTGAAATACCAATTATTGAAGAGATACCAAAATTGATTGACAAAACTGATCACGTTAATTATTCTAATCTTTACTTGGAATCAAACTCAATTAAATGTTTATCTTCACATTTTTACTCTTCACCTTACCAAAATTGTAATCCTACACTTTCTTATTATCAACCCTATCACTATACGAAAGATATAATCATCAACTTAAACTGTCATGAACCTAACGATAATGTTTTCAACTGGTTGGTACAAAGGAGTGCCGACGAAATCGATAACGAATAAATTCTATGATGCGATTCTTGAAATATGGACTTCAACCCTTTGCTTTGGCAGGGACTGCTCAAAGTTAAGATGACGGAAATGTTGCAATATTATTCAATATTAATTGATTGATAACACCTAAACAGAAAAACAAACCTCTTCAATTTGATTTTGCTAATGATAAATTAACCAATATATATGAAGTTATATTAATTAGTTAATAACAACTATTTGATCAAGAAAGATCAATTATTGACTTTGGTTATCCAGTGAAGGGTAACCAAAGTCAAATCACCAATAATCACCTTAATTGTATTTTTTTAACATTTGTTTTTTTTTTCTATTAAAAGTTAAATTAGAATCAAAACAATAACTGGTCAGTGAAGACCAATACTAATTAATTATCTAAATTGTGTAATAAAATTAAAGTCAGTGAAGACTTTGATTAATTGTGTTTATTCCTAAACTGAAACCTAATAGCCAGTGAAGGCTAAAGGTAAAATAATCAACTAATTTGTGCTTAAATCCAATACAAATTCAACCCTTTTTTAATTTACATGTAATGTTTTCGTTACAATAATATTATATATCATTACCTTGGATTCTCAGCATATACACATACAAGTATGGGGATCATGAGGATATATTAATAATGATATGATTCTGTGAGCAGAGATATGAAGTTCTGAGTGTATACTGTGTCAAAGGTATTGGGGGACATGATGGAGATAATGTTTTCATCGTCATTCCCATTGAGTGTGAATCATGAACAAGATAATAACCGTTACATATGCATCCATATACTTGCCCTGTGTTTGTATATAAATTAGTTGATTCTTGATATAATTTAAGTAGTCAAGTGATGAAACATTTTCTCACTCCCATTTTCCCCACTAACTTGTTCAATATCTCATGTAATATATGAATTATAATATATTGATGATGATGAGTAACAATCTTAACTCATTGGTTTCTCATGGGTTCTGGTTAATTTGATAAGAAATACGAGTTATATTATTATGATAAAGTGTTTAGCTTAATAATGTGAGCGATAAATATCATCATCATTTCCCTTGTGATTTTTTTCACATCTTCATCATCATTCACTCTTTCATGATATTTATAAAGATGATAATGATCTTTATCATGATGATGACGATGGTAAATGATTTAAGAAAACAATAATTTTGATTCTATTTGATTATCTTTCGTATAATAATATTAGTAAATATTCGTACTGATTTAGATTTCAATTTATTATCCAAGCATAAATTGGTTTTAATCATCAACCGTAAATATTATATTTACATTAAGGGTAAATATCAAATTGATTTTAAATTAAGTGTCTATTAAACTAACTGGACAAACTATTGTAAATACAATTGGGAGTTGAGCTAATATATCAAAACAGTTTGAATACACAAGTCACTCTGGTCATTGGAAAACAATTTGTTATCACAAGTTAAATGAAACCTTCACTTTTGGACATTGGTCATTGTTGTTACATTTGACACAGATAAAAATCAATGCTGTTGCTGTCAGTGAGTTTATCAACATTATCAAGTATATGAAAAGAGGGAATGGTGGATGATGCTGGAAGATAAAAGATGAGAGAAGAGAGATAGTTTTCGTGGAAGATGATGATTAGAATGATGAGATGGAAGAAAAAGAATAGGGTGAGAATTGAAAGAAAGAAGAAGTGAAAAATGACCATTCTAACAAAAGAAATGAATGGCGAGAGAAAAATAGACTGACCAATAATCAGGGTATTTGATGCGTAAAATGTTAGCATTTGAAATGAGATAATAGTGAATTCTCATAATCATCATCATTATGTAACTTTAAATGGACAACTGAATTTGTATGACGAGCAGCATGACAGAAAAATGAACAGTTATCATGCACTAAGATTGAATGGGGATAATGATGAATATTTTTTTCTAACTCTCTCAATTTCATGTTTTTCACACCTCAAGAGACATGATACAATTCAATTTGAATGAATGTCGTCTAAAGGAGTAACTTTTGGATTCTCAGAGTAAATAAAGCTAAAATTGTAATCTAAATGTTCAATGATGAATACAGAGAAAGAGAGAGAGAGAGAAATTTTTCCATTCACCCTCTACGATTACTCCCAAGATCTGATTTCATCCCTTTTTCTAGAACTTTAAATTTCTTGTTATCAGATTGATTGATCACGATGA